CATCGAAAGCTTGCATGATGGATTTTGTATGTTGTTGTATACGTTGGCCCTATAAATACCTGTAAAGGCATTCCTGTTTTGTGGATTTGGGATGTTATTGTATCAAAGCACTTTGGGTCCCCATAAGTTGGAAACAACTGGGAGTTGTGCAACCATGACGAGAAACCAGCAAGGCTAAACCAAGTAAAAGCAAAGAAATTGATATTTTAAAATGGGCTGGTTTCTGTGTGGTGTCTGTAAAGGGTGTTGAAGTTGTGCAAATATTGCAAAGAAGTGGCGGCTAGAGACCCGTGGTTGTGTCGTCATGCTTGCATACGCAAAGCTATCACCCATTTTTGTTTGCCAAAGAGGTGTGTTGTTGCAGGCTAGCAAACAGACTCCTTTCCCTTAAAGGAAAAGTCAAATTTCGATCTCCCTTCCCTCTTTTCCACCTGAAAAATTGGTTTAAAACTTTTTGGAAACCTTCTTAATGTGTTCTTATGGAAGCCGCTTTGGATCCCGGCCTGGGAGAAAGGGGGCAAATAAATAAAATCAATGTAAAAGATAATCTAATAAATAAACTTTGCTGCAAGACAAAGCTGAGAGGTGTGCATCCAACATCTGTTTAAAGCCCTCCAAAGGAGGAGAGTCCACTACTCTCTATTTTGCTGTCGAACAACTCAGACAGCAGAGTACCAAAACCGTATCTGCCAAACTGGGACAGCTGGAAAGTATGCATCCCACTTTTGCACCTCGAATTTCACTTGGAGCAATTGAAGTGAGCAGAGGGGAAAGGAGGAAAGCAGGAGGAGGAGAGGAAAACCAGGACATTTTAAAAGCAGCTGGAAAATGGGATGGCAGGGAATTAATGGGGATTTTCCCTGCAAGACTGGGACAGATGGAGGGCATATGTCTCCCTGTTCCACCTATATCTTACCAGTGACTGTGCTGTGGCTAGTGGACTGAGCCTTTTGGCTAGTGAATGCCTCTTTGGAGCTTGCAAGGGCTGTTGCTGTCAGAGGTCCTGTTGTCCCATTGCTCATTTCATTGATGCTCCCTGTGGTTTCTAGAGGCATGGGGCTCAATGATGCTCCTGGTCCTGAGGTGCTTGGATGAGTGGCAGGAATGTCCGTCTTTGCCCTGGGGCTAGAGGCTGATGCCTCATTGCTGGTATACAAGGAAGATGTAAAATGCTGTGTTGTGGGTGTATTTGAAGATGTGGAGTTTTCTGTGGTGTTAGATGGTGGTTCAGCCCTGAGTGGACCTGCCAAAATAAAAAGGGAAAATTGCAACCAGAATGAACCAAAACCTGGCCGTAGAAGAGACACCTTAATGGAACCTCCAAGCACCAAGGCAGTCTACCCCAGTTAGAAGGAAAATGCTAGACTTTGTGTCCTTGATTTGGCCTTGCTCTGTGGCTGTTTCAGCCCCACCAACATAAATCTGAACTGGTTTTGAAGCCAGATTCTAACCTGTTTCTCTGCCAAGGTACTTGGGAATTATATTTTGGATGTTTGGACAATTCTATATTGTCTGTTCCTTGTTTCCTTGTTTTGGAGGACTCGGTGCCTTTGTGCCCATGGTACATGAACAGGCCATATAGGAAGTTGTTGTTCACAGAATCATAGATTCATAGAATTGGAAGAAACCACGTGGCCCATCCAGTTCAATCCCTGCCATGCAGGAACTCACAATCAAAGCACCCTATTGTGTGACTTCAAGTCATTTCTGACTTATGGCAACCCCCCAGGCAAACCTATCACAGGGTTTTCTTGGCAAGGTTTGTCCAGAGAGACTTTTCCCCCATTGCCTTCCTCTGAGGCTGAGAGAGTGTGATTTGCCCAGGGCCACCCAGTGGTTTACATAGCCAAGCCAAGCTCTGAACAACAGTTTGGAGGGACAGCAAGGATTTATCTACACTGCAGAATTAATGCATTTTGACACTGCTTTAAGTGGCATGGCTCAGTGCTATGGCATTCTGGTAGTTATGTGGGTCCCACCAGAAACTACAAATCCCAGGACTCTATAGGATGGAGCCATGGTAGTTAAAGCGGTGTCAAACTGCATTAATTCTGTAGTACAGAGGTATAGAGAAGATCAGGAGCATTCAAGGTCTGGCATGGGAAGACTAGAAGACCATGAGAGATGTTGTAGGCATGAATTACAGGCTGTGTTTCCATCTTTGTGTTACCGGCTCCACCTCACTCCACAAACAACACACACAACTGGGAACAGAGATAGTAGAAACCACACTCCCTTTTGTTTCAGGCCCCATGTGCTCCCTGTCCCACATCCTGTTTCGCAGCATGGTCTACTGAAAAAGGCTTTGCAAAAGGAGACAGGAAGATGTTGTGTAGGACACACAATCAGCACATGGTGTGTGTGCACTTTCTCCCCAAACACTATTTGTGGGGTTTGGTTCCGGGACCCCAGTGGATACCAAAATCCATGGATAGCCAAGTCCCATTATATACAACAGGGTAGTAACATGGCGTCCCTTTTGTCAAATGGCAAAAGCAAGGCTTGCTTTTGGAAATGTATATATTTTTTAAATATTTTCTTTTATTTTTTAAATGAATTTTTATTGAGTTTTTACAATAAAACACAGAGTCTGTACAACAATGACAA